TGTTTGTCTCAGTTGGAGGAAGGTAGAGATGGTGTCACTTCCTGTACAGAAGATATCCGTCTGGCGACTTTACACACACACACTCAGTTGCACCTGCACTGTTGCATGATGCGGCTACAAGGTTAAGCTTATTTTCTGGTTAATATTTGAGGTTAACAGTATTATTAGAAACCCGATTTAGGTAAGTCAGGAGAAGGGCTGGCATCAGACACAAGAGAGGATTGTAGTTCATGAAAAAATCCTCATAAGCGTGGCTGAAGAAGCACAAACGCACACATGCACAGATACTGCTTAATTATGCAAATGTGTGTGGGTGTGAGAGGGAGATCAGCTGTCAGGTACAAATTGTTTACTGATGAAGAATCAGCGAGTCACCCTGCACCATCCATATGTGTGATCGGCACATCACATGTTGCACAACCCCTCACCTCTCCTCACTTAATCCCCCCCCGTCTCTCTCTTGTCACAGGAAGACATGAAGATGTGTGTGTGTTGGCAGTGGAGGAGTGTTTGCGCTGTGTGTGTGTGTGTGTGTGTGTGTGTGTGTGTGTGTGTGTGGTGTGGAGTTTGAGGAGAGGAGAGAAGGGACAGAGATTGAAGAGAGAGGCACAGGAAAGCACAAAGGGACAGACAGATGCTGAAGGATAAAGACTTGCAGCTGAGATCTATCAACTGCAAGGCGGGCAAGGGGTGGCCATGCTCTGACACCGACCCACATCCATCTTGCACACACACAACTTACACACAATTCTGTAGCCCGACCTCGGGGTTCCCCCCCGGGGCGGCGGTGTGAATTTCATCCCATCAGGGTGCAGTTTTGTCGCGGCTGTGTCGTGACCGGTGTTGCCGCGGGGGGTGTCTGTGCGTTTCTTGATGTAATTGTGCATGCTTGTCATATTATCCTGTCCATGAAAAGGCAGTCCAAGATTTGCCTCCACTACATGCATAATGTTATTCATGCTTTTGATAATTTTATGTGGTTTGCCATGCCTCAACATATCTCTGCTGCATGTGGACTTGGCGAGACATAGAAGTGATGCCCTGATGGCTGTGACTCCAAAGGACATGTGTGTACGCATCTGTGGTGTGTGTTAGTTAAAACCACCTCTTTCTATTTA